GTGCTCGATACCCATGGGACGGGGGGATAGAGCAATCATTCCCCCTCCCACAAGTCCCGGTAGTAGTTAAAGGGCCAGCCGACCCGAGGGAACTGTTGAAGTAATTGTGAGAAGACGTCTTGGGGCTATGTAGGTATAATTATGTGGAGAACGTGTGTATCAGCACAGCCGAAAGATGTGTGAATGTTCCATGGTTCATTAAGAATTTATTTATTGAATTTTTTTTTTTCTAATGAATTTCACCATAATGTCATAATAAAATAATTACTGGAATGGATGGAGAGTAGTTTACCAGTGGGTTACCAAATGACCTTTATCTTTACACAGGATGATGACCGACATACTTTCCTGTGCCTGGTTGCCGTTGGTCATTTTGACCAGTTCAGTCCACGGACAGGATCTTGACCGTCTACACTACGGGGTACTATTCTCCGAGAGAGGGAAACTCACAACGTATGACGAGTCATGGACACACACATTCGCCTTACACCTACCACAGCCGTACTTGAAAGGCATGTCTTACCATATACCTGCCTGCACGAACCACCGTAACGCTACATGTAGAAACACGCACTTTCATCTTAGCACTATACTCAGCTTGGTTAGTTCTATCCACAAACGCGCCAATGCTGACCTAGTAAACACCATTAAACTGATCAAGGATCTTATCCCGGACACTCCCGAGATCAAATCCAGATCACGTAAAACACGTAGTCTCTTGCCTTGGCTGGGACAATTAGCCAAGGGGGCTTTTGGACTTGCCACAGAACGCGATCTCAAAATAGTTATTGCTGAAAACATACACGCACGTGACATAGGGTTCAATGTTTCTCAACACCAAATGGCCTCATACATGACAAAAACAAACCAACGTTTTGACAACATCATCAAGCTTATTAAAAGTAACCAGAAAGAAATAGTTCAAACAGGTATAGTTACTCTTCAAGAGGTCAAGTGGTATGAAAGATTTTTCACATTTTTACTAATAGTGGGCCGAGAAAACCAGCTAGCGTCAATAGTTCATTCTCATTCTCAGTCTCTGCTGGCAGGTATTCTCCAACTGTTAAGGGGTCGCTTGTCCCCTAATATCGTACCTTTACACACCTTATCCACAACTATTTCCTCCATTCAAGAAAAATTGGCCCAAAACTACCCTGCATTCAAACTCCGATACACCGACGCCACCATGTATTACACTGACGTCGACGTCAACTTGGCCCGCCATAACGACATGATATTTGTGACCTTACTAGTGCCTATAGTGTCTGACAGTACTGTACTGTGCGTTTACAGGACATCGACGTTCTCACTTCCGACTCACGTGGCATCCCCTCACGCAACTATAGTCCGTAATGTGGCTCCATACATTGCCATCTCCAGGGAAAGTGAGAAGTATGTAGAACTTCAGGTTGAACAATACGAAGCGTGTAGTGGACAGTCACACATTCACTGTGATATACTGCCACCAGAATCCTCGTTCGCTTCAACGAGTTGTACACTCGCCCTATTCCTTATCGACATCGATTTGGTACATAGGTTATGTGACTGTCATTTTTTACCAAATGGCACTAAACCAGACATTTTGAACTTAGGTCGGGTAAAGTCGTTTTACAAAACGTACCTGATATCAAGTATATAAATGTGGAGGAGAGGTTAAGACCCACAAAGGGATGTAGTTTGTGTCAAAGAAGGATTAACCGATACTCGCCCTATACATGTATTGTTCATGCTCACTACACGCAAGCAGGTGTGCTATCTTGGGTGAAAAGACTATTCCCCACGTCTTAATGACTGCAGTAGCCATAATAATGTCACCCAAATTGAATATCCAGTAAACATTGGGCTTGTTACGCCATTTCTTCGATACAGATCAAATCCAAAAAATCGTTATGTTAGAAGTTGTGTCCATCCCAGTAGAAAGTAGATCATTGTTAGCTCAGGAACCGGTTTAAAAACATGTTTGGCAAATGGCAACAAGCAAAGGCAGACCAAATTATCTATACTGATCCTTCCGACCCACTATTTCTAAATTCCTTGAGCGGAGAGTCCGATACATTTAGTTGGACCAACCCTTTCACGTATCTCAATATGGCAATGTGGGGAATATTGATTCTATTTGGATTTATACTATTTACTATGAATCGAAGAATTGGTCACCTGAGGGTCCAACTATTAGCCCGAGGTATCACTGCGGTCACAGTATCAACCACGTCAGATATACTCGTCTGGACTCCCTCCACCCCTGCCAGCCCCACCCCCTCCATACTTGACCGTATTCAACCTTATCTCAAATTAGAAATTGTTTTCCTCATATTGATGTTCCTTGTTGTCCTATCGCTGAGTTTGTATGTGTATAAACTTAAAACAAAGGTTGCGTCCATACTATATATATCAGCTTTTCTTCAGGCACGGAGTCCGTTTGTGTGAAAGTGGCTGAGATTAATGCACCACCCCTTGCTCTGTCCCTCTCACACCAGGACTATTCGCCTTCATCTGTGGTCATTAATGACTCTTACAGGTTGTTCGCTGATCAACTCACGATTACTTGGCCAGGGAACAACTTATCAGTCGTTAATTGTGTCTCAACAACGCGTCTATCTCTCCCTCCCCATCTCACCATAGCGAAACTAGCAGCCAGGAAACTAAACGAATAATTAAGTCCAATTATATAACTAACTTGTACTTAGTCCATTACTCCGTCAGTGCACTCGACAGGACTACCCAACCAGACCCACCACCAAGTTATCCATATCGACTGTACCCTTCTATCGACTCTTAACGGTTGTCACTACACACTATAGCAGTGGTATGCGTGGATGGCACTAACAAGTACGGGAAATACTGCTCATAATCGTTGAGAGTGTTCATTGATATATTGTAACGTTGCCACACTTTCTGTATCGTATCAACGAAGCCAATGGCTACATCCAGGTGTTTGTTGTTGGTTTGGGGTTGTTTTTGTTTTTTTTGTCCATTCTCATTTATAATAAGGTAGTCAACATCATGTTGACAATATTGTCCATTATAAATTAGTCATTTGTACTTTGTGTACTGTCAGTATGTACTTTTGTACTACAATCCTGTATATGTCTGTATTTATATGTACATGTATATAAAATGGTCCTCACGCGAATTATTGTAACTTGCCATGAATTTAAGTCAAGTACTCTATGTCCATCTATAAATGACAAATTGAAATACCAACATATTTGTAGACAATATTATACATAGCTGACAGGCCTGCCATATCACACCTGCTTTCCCATCCGGACGCGTGGACGCGTCCTTAAATATTGGGGGGGGATATCAGAGGCAAGAATCATGGATCGGTCTCCATATTAGGGAACCCGAATTGGCGACATGAGTCACCCCTCCCCCATCAGTCAACGACATGAGTCACCCCTCCCCCATCGGTCAAGAATCCGATGGGGGGAGACATAACCCTGGCGAAAGACACAAACTGACCACAGGGACCTACACCAAACATGGAATCGGGGAAAGCCGGATACAGGCAAGGAATGTCAGCTATGTCAATTAATGGATGGTATAAATGATTGTGAACCAGAGAATCAACCTACTGATGCTGATACCTGTTTGCAGTTTGTATCAAACCATGGTTTTGCGTATGTGCGGGTTTCCAGAGGACTTAGGAATGGTTTTGTCTCCAATGGCATTTAGGATGTCTGAAAATAGTTCCATGGGATCAGGAACATTCCTGAAATTTTCAGGTTTAAGTTAGTAATATACACAATGGAGATTCTGCATCAGGTCCGCTTATGGCGTTATTTATGGCTAATTAAGTTTCCAGCGGGCCCCCTTACAAACGGTGGTTGTTGCGGGGACATCAAATGATGTCCCGGGATGAAAGAGAATTTTTTTAATTACTAATCCACACTTAAATTTTCTATTTAGAAAGATGATATTAATAGAGGCATAATGAAAAATGAATCAACAAGAGAAAACAAAACAGTCTGCTTTGGCCCTTGAGTGGTTGAGACAGTGAAGGAATAGCTGAAGATCATATCGGCCGAAAATATATCAGTCATAGCAGGAAAAACGATAGACAATATAGGTTGGTTATTTGTCAGGGGCGGCAGATGTCAGATAATATGGTTTTATTAATTAGTTTACCTTAATTTGTTGAATAAGTATGTTATAAGAGCAGTTTATTCAACATGTTTGTTCATGGGGGTGTTCTATATGAGTAGTGATAACTTATGCATAATCCTTTTCATAAGGAAAGGGTTTGTTGCCAACAGGATGGCACAAATCAAAGTTGACAGACATGTTCAACAAATGGCTTTGGCATATCAGGTTCATGCACAACTTATTTGATAGAGCATACACAAAACAGGACATTAGATTATGTTCTATCTTTAGAATAAATGCAGGGACCAGGTTATGGTGTAACAGTCTTTTTGAGGCATCATAACATTGCTGTACTGCCATGGATGTTTGTTTCCCTAGATTTCTTGCCCACCAGACCATGTCTGTGTTAAGACAGAAAGAAGTCTATGGACAGGATACAACTGGTAATTCTAGTCCAGCTGGGGCAATCCTTGGCTTATATTACGAACATCATCCCCCATGTTGTACCAGATCATCTTGTGTTTTTCAACGCACTGCCACTGCTTGCCATATCAGTGGACACAGTGATCACACTACCCCAGTTACAGTGTGTCACTATATCTCCTGTCACCAGAGATGGGTTTTCTCAATGAACTTCTTGCCATGAACAATGACTGGTGGAATAAAAGGGGTCAATAAAAGTGGCTAAAAGAAATGAGACAGTATGGTTTTCAGACTTCACATGATCAACCAGAATGAAATTGGTGTCATAAAAAGATCATTCATGACAAATTTCAGCTTGTGCTGGCCTTCAGGTGTTTAAGATGATCAAGAGACTCGCCTGAGGCATGACAGGAGCTGCACATTCCTTCAGAATAATTAAGAAAATATAAAAAATTACACTTCACACTGAAAACAAAAAGACAACCTGCTTCATGTTCGACGTTTTTTAATGCCTTCATTTACATTTTCTCATATTCTGGAAGGGTACAGCATCTGAAACAAATAAAGTGAACATTTGAAAAAGACAACAGGTTGACATTAACAACCCATCCACACCCACCCACAACCACTTGATGAGATAGCTCCCCTGATCAAGGAATGATTTCATTCACAACATTTTATTTGCTCAGACCATCAATGGTGGTACATCATAAAACATATTTTTTCATTTTATTACAATAAAATTGTAAGATGCCTTGTGTTTTGTTGCAGTGTTATTCATTATGGAACAGAATTGAATTTGTGTAACATCGTTCTGGTTAAGATTCAGTGTGCTAGTTACAATATTTAGATTCAGACAAGGCATGTCTAAAAATGTGAATGGAATCCAGATTATTCCTGTCCAGTATGACCTGGAGAGCTGGAGAAACTTCAGGAAGGTATTTATAGTGTAGAAGGAAAGCTAACTATTGCCTACACCATCGCACATACCAAGAAAACCAGCAAATGTGGGAAGATAACTTTTCACCCTCGGCTCTTGGCCTATTTGGAAGCTTGACAACTGTTGTGCACTCAACATACATACATGAATGTTTAACGATCATTTATAAGATGAATGATTAAAGGGATAAATGTATTTTTACCTCTATTGGTTTTAAAACGCGGTAATAAATATCTCCTTCCAGAAGGAGTGAGTGAGTCTAGTTTTACGCCTCACTCAGCAATATTCCAGCTATATGGCGGCGGTCTGTATATTACCGAGTCTGGACCAGACAATCCAGTGATCAACAGCATGAGCATCGATCCGCGCAATTGGGAACTGATGACATGTGTCAACCAAGTCAGCGAGCCTGACCACCAGATCCCGTTAGTCGCCTTTTACGACAAGCATAGTCGCCTTTTGTGGCAAGCATGGGTTGCTGAAGACCTATTCTACCCCGGATCTTCACGGTTCCCTTCCAGAAGGAAGCATGACAAATTCACTGGATCAGACAAAATTTTCAAAGCTTATTTCAAAACTCTTTATTCACAAAGATATGACAGATTGTTAATCACCTGCTGTTTTACCCGCTATTTAAACAACTTCTTCCAAACATATCTCTAATAAGCTACTATTAACACCTGTTTGAGCTATGCCTTGACAACATTGGTTCTTTAGCAGTATTTCTAAATTTGAGATTCAGTCTTTACACTGCATTATCTATTCACAAAAGCTAAAATCACATTTTACCAAATATAAATATTTAGTTATGCACATTCCTTTGATTATTTGTTTGCTCCAGGGATTTTTTTAAGAAGTCAGATCGTCTAAGAAAGTTATACTTGTATCTGTTTCTTTTACCATATATGACTGGAGACGTGCCAAAATTTGAGGACCAGAAAAAGAATTCTGTCGAGAGGGGTAGGCCTATGTAAAATGTCAAAATCAGAGTGGTAAAACAGTAAAATTTAAACTTTGTATTTGAGTGCATAGAATACAGATATTAGCACAGGGATTTACATGACGCGAATTCCTGCGTCCTATACGCATCAAAATTTATTAGCACATCCACAGGGACACAGAAAAAGTCAAAAATCTACTGGTAAAATTTCAATCAAGTAACAATAAGTTATCAAAGAGTTTGCTAATAGCCGGGTTATGATATCATTTGCAATTCAACAAGAAGACAAAGTCATCAATATCCCTCGCAATGGCAAAATACTCTTCAGGATTATGTCTACGAGTTAAGATTATGTCAAATATTTAGGTGTGTATATAGAAAAGTGTCAGGAGAGTATTGAAAGGTTCTGCTCCAGAAAGGAGCACCATCACCAATTTCAGTCTATGTCAAACTTGTTGCCATGGAAATGCCAAAAACATTTTATTCAGAAATCCAAAACTACCAAAAGGCACCAGTACACCACCAGATCTATGTATGTGCCAAGTTTGGTGAAGAAACATTGAACGGTTTTAGAGTTCTGCTCCGGAAAGACAAATGTGCACGGACGGACGGATGCATGCACGCACGCACGGACGGAGTCCATTTTAATACGTCCCGCAAAACGCGTTGCGGGGGATAATTACTGTCACAATTAATGTGATGATCATGATACAGGATACAATAAAAGTATTAGTAATGAAAATGAAGTGTCTGGGACCCTCATTTGTTGTCCAGGACCCCTGAAAATTAAGAGTATGAGTCCCAGGGACCCTCAAAAACAGGACTCCAGGTAAATCCCTGTTAGCAGTAAAATTATGACAGAAAGATAATATATTTAAGTAATACAATACACAGTCTATAAAAGTGTAAACTAAATGCAAAGTCTGATTTAATTAGTACATGTATAGCGTGTTAATGAAAAAAAAAACGATACAAAGGTAAACTAAAATAACTCAGGTTCTCCATTATAGCGGCCATCAAAAGTTGAGTTGAGGTGACAAAACAGAGATGTAATTTCACTCACATAGGATAGCACGGGAAAAAAAAAATGAAAATAGTAATTTAGATGTAATTTTGGCCACTTTAATACATAATTTTGTTGCTTTTATCTTACTTTTCAAGTCATTAATTTTTTGGTTTGAAACATCTTTATTTTGCGAACTGACAATTTCGAAATGGACCCATTGACAAATTATGTGTTAGAAAATAACAGTAACATCACAGAATTTAAATCCGTCGATAAAATTTGATGAATTGAAATGTATTACATGTTTTCTGTCATCATGAAAAGTGATAAATTTATTAAATGAATCATATGAACAGAAGGTTCCTAAAATATATACATAATTTTGATTTGACTATGGCCTGGCTGGTTATTCAGTGTCAGGGGACACATGTCATGGTTAGTCATCCAGGCAGCGGTATTAAATGGGCAGGGCTTCAGATAATTTTTCAACAGGAGTACGTACTCCTTATTTGTTCAATATGGGAGTACTGGAAAATCTTAAGTGTACATTTAGAGTACTGAATGGAATTTAATGGAGTTTCTTTCATATATGCACCACAACATTGCTAGTCTTGTGTAAACAGGTCAATGAACAATAAAATAATATCTTTTCAGATAAATACGTCTGTAAATGATTCTAAGACCGTACCACCATTGCTGTGGTGCGTACAATGCTGTCCGGTAATTCCGCGCACCTAAGCACATCGATTGCAACACGGCAACTAACGCCTTTTTTGTGGTTTGCGTGACTAAACATGCTGGTATGCATCATATTTACCTAGAAACATAAGTTTTATTGACGACAAAAAGATTCTAACGTTGCATAATGCCCAACTCTTTCAACACCAGTCAACCAGAGGCATTTACTGCCATGACACCGAGTTCCCAGAGACTCTGAGGTCATAGATGAAGCCTATGTTTATGAAGGAAATTATAAGCTTGTAAAACGTTATTGCTACTACATCCCATACACCATTTAAAAGATCTAATCCTACTGTTGATAAATATGAAGTTTATTTTTATAATGTCATTCAAATAATACAACTACAACTTAAATAAAATTAATTTTGAATGAAAATGCAAGCTTACATTTATAACGTCCAGATAAACCACGAAAGAAGCAAAACCTATGGCGATTTGTTTCCATTTGTGACATGTCATAACATGCCCGTGCCTTTTTCTTTTATATTTTCATTTTTACGTCATCAGAAAATTATTATAAAAAGATTTCTTAAATAATATGTATGGTCGCCCTATTTCCCGATATCTGTGGCTTTCCGCCGGGTAACATGACATAACAACGGAAAATACCTCCGTTTTCGAAGCGTCGTATGAAGAACATGGGAGGCGAATCGTTTGATGTCGGGTATCGTTCGAAAGCTCTGAACATCAACAACATCACTGAACCCTTGCCAAGAGTATTTTCACTGTTGTAAGAAGCGATTTTATTGGATAAAAATTGGTTTCTAATGACGCTTTTTCGCTTCAGTCTGCTATAAGGGTCGTGATTGGTCAAAATCAGACACGTGACCTAAGGCAGCCAATCATATTACGGCAATGGATATCGTCCTCATAAACGAAAACTTTAGATTTAGATGAAAGTTTTGGGTAAAATAATGCTATTTTGAACATATTAAGCAAGAAATCGCTACCTATACGTAAATTATGTAACTTATTGGACGTATCGTGCTAGGTTATGACCTGTGACAAAAATGCTTCATGTATATATTTTCGCATTAAACATCGTGTCCGAGCGTGAAGATTGAGGCAGCGAGAGCCGAGATGTCACTTGTCAGTGACTTGACTTACATTACATGATCGCACAAAAAGATGGAAATAATAATTTTATATGTACGTTTGACAACTTTTATGAATGTTATTGTTGATTTTATTCATTAGTTAATTCAATTTATTTAATGAATTCCTCGAAACATCGTTACTTTGCTCTTTGACAATGTTATTGTGGACCCGCTGCCGAAGCATGTGTCCGAGAATCGTTGTTTTCAAAAACTTTGCGAAAAATAGTTTATAATTTTAATTTGGCTGATAATATATGATAAATTGAAATTTAATAAGTGTTTTCAGACATTGTGAAATGTGATAGATTTAATATATGAATCACAAGTCAGGTAGGTTCCTAAAATTATGTCTCATTTTGACGTGACTACTGCCTGGCCGATTAATCGGCCTCCGGTGTCTGGGGACTCATAACGTTGTGGCCGCTTAAGCGGCCTGCGGTGTTGAATGGGTTAAGGTTGACCTTACCAGCATTCTGACAACATCGCATGCTGTCCGGTGATTCTGCGCAGTAACTGATGCGCATAACATCCAGTTGGAGATCCGAAGTATGGAAGCGTATTAGGGCCAGATTATTTTCAAAAATCACTTCATCAATGTAAGGAAGAGTGTTTCATATTAAATCCAAATATGAATAATGAAGAAAATCGTTTAAAAGTCTGAAGAAAACGAATTTTCATAAAACTGTCAATTTATCTGTCAATTACTTACCTTTAGTGATTAAAAGCCAGTCCCTTATAGAAATGTCCCGATTTCAAGCGTAAATGTGGTAGCAGACAATGTTTACCTTTGATATGGAAGTACGCTATTGCAGCTACGCAGAATTACCGGACGTGCGGAATTACCAGACTCGCTTGTATCTGCTACGCTTTCTAAATTATTTCCTACCATATCGTGCATATTTTTATCTGTACATGCGCCGATACGGCCCTTATCTGGTGCCCTGATGGGTTAACATGTGTTACACATACCACTCTTACTCTTTTGCCCATGGCTTTTGAGGGCAAATTCTTCCTGAACTGTGCACGAACAGCACCACTGTTTCCATGGGACCGAGTAATTTTCCCCCCAGATGACACGAATCTTGTTAGGTCTTGTTGGCTGAGCAGGACAGGCAGTTTTGCTGTAAACAAATAAAACAACCAAGATAAATGTTGGCGCTTTGGTTAATTTCCGTTTGTTCTGAACTGTTGAACATGTCAAACATGTGACATCTCACTCATCCTGCTCATTAGTGTTGGGAATCTACCTCTAAAACCATAATCGATGTCTTCTGTCGATCAATTATCGATAAATTATCAACTACAAGTATGGATTTATGTACACAAGACCAGCTGGATGAGACAACTGCTACAAGATTGCTTGTAATTAAGATCTGTCATATGACACGAGATCGTAACCCATTCTTCTTAGAAATGGATTAAACACTTTGACCAAAGGATATTGAAAATCAATGAGTGAGTGAGTTTTGGTTTTACGCCGCTTTTAGCATTATTCCAGCAACATCACGGCAGGGGACACCAGAAATGGGCTTAACACATTGTACCCATGTGGGGAATCGAACCCGGGTCTTTGGCGTGACGAGCGAACACCTTAACCACTAGGCTACCCCACCGCCCCTTGAAAATCAAACAAACCTGTACAGGTTTATGATTCTTTGAAGAAAGTCCTCCTTGGGGTACATATAAGCATTAAAATGTCCATTATGAAATCCTACAATAGTTGTAACAATATTTTAATAAAAAATATTTACAAAACAAAAAACTCGTTTTTCTCTTGTGAGACCACCCCTACAGGGCCCCCCACAGCCAAGAGCAGGTAACTATCGTCATCAACCTCGTACCTCACTTTTCATGCTGAAAGTGATCAGACAGAATGTCGTAAGGCGGGTGGCCGTACCCCAAGAAGGACTTCCTTCAAAGAATCAGAAACCTCTACAGGTTTGTTCGATTCTTTTTCAGAAGTCCTCCTTGGGGTACATATAAGCATAAGACAGAATCCCTTAGATATTGAGTCGGGAGTGGCATTCTGTCTGACAAAACTAAACCCATTCTCCAATGGAATCCCCCACCGATCTGAGATAGCAAAACACACTTACCGAGCCACCTGACCGCCGATGTCATTCAGGCTGGGGGTGTGGTTTAGGACAGGGAGTAGAAATGCCAGGCTCATACGCTGACTGGCTTTGAAGCATATCAATCAACCCCACCTCCCAACCAACAATTTGGAAGAGTATGGGGGGACTCGACAACAATTCCCAGTAAAATACACCCAGCCAGCGAAGCGTGATGGGAAAGAAATTACGAGTGAAGCGGGTACAACACCGTAAAAGCCAATTTGAAGTGCGGGAAAAATACCACCACCAAATACCATAACCGATAAAAGGAGGAATGACTTAACCCAACACCAGGAAGTGCAGAATGATGTAATCTCAAGAGCTCAAACGGCTAGAGAGTTACAACTCCGCCAACTGTGTGGAGAACAGTCTGGCCAAACTGAGCACACGGACGTGAGCGTTTTTCCAGCTGATAGGTATCCAGTGTTCACGAATGGTGTTTCAAAGTAACAGGACATTGGGTCCTGTAAGTTTAAGATGTCTGTCTGACCCATTGAAAATTCACAGGCCCCATGGAATAAAATTAAACACACATTTCAGATTTAACATTTCTTATAATTGGCATTGAAATTATTAACAAACATAAGAAAAAATAAGATAAAATAAACAGCAAACAAGTGTCACATGTCACATATAACAACTTCAGTCAAAGTCATTGTGAAATATACAGTCGGACACTGGGGCAGGTGGGTTGTAGACTTCTATCGAACCGTTGGCGAATCTGCCGGATATGTCAGAGGGTCAGACACTATTCGCGAACACTGGGTATCAATGAACGCGCTCTGATGGCTCTAAACAGCCTCTTAGCAGATCTCCACAATGGGCAGTGCCGCGGCATACGCCTTTGAGCCTGCAAACCTAGGGCTACAAGAGTCTGGCAACCTAATGCTGACCCTATCCCTATTCCAACTTAACATGTGGAGAGAGAGCCGACAAATCGATAAAGAGGACTGGACCATCCAGGACTCAAGAACGAGTGACAAGTCCCACGGGGGACTCACTTCGAGAATCCCTCTGCCGACATACCAGCGCGCACAACAGGCCCATCTGCCCCCACACTGAACTGGGAGGGAGAGGGAAAGAAAAACACCAGAAATGGGTTTCACGCATGGTACCCATGTGGGGAATAGAACCCAGGTCTTAAGCGTGACAAGCTGTAACCACTAGGCTATCCCACAGTCCCTAGGAGAGCATATGGCAAACTGGTCTCACCAGAGCAGAGACTGCCACGCCTCCTGCAGGAGAGACGGAGACATCATACTGCCCTGCCTCAGGTCATCACCGTCTGCTTGTCTATCTATAGACGAACCACACGGCTTCAAACCTGGTCCACAAAGTGGTCGAATACCAGCCTGGCTGCTCTCAATTTCAGCACATTGATGTGCAGGCTCCCCTCGTTCTCTGGCCGAATGCCTAAGACCCAGCTTGTGAGGGAGGCATCCGTTTGACTCTAGATCGATGGGGGAACCCCCTGGGTAGATTCCTAGCGTCTGTCCACTTTAAGTGAGTAACTAACCACTCTGAATGTGGAAATTGCTCTCGCAAATCTCTGAGTGAGACCATAGCTGTGCTTATGCCTGCTGTAAACGTCGCATCCTCAGACGAGCACGTCAGATAATGACCAATGTCGCCATGTTGCCTACCAACTGGAGCCATGTCCATGTCAAGGCCATGGGGAACTCAGATTGCAAAGCAACCCTCCTGAACTGTGGTAAGGCTGTTTGAATACGGGGATACCACGCTACGGCGTGTCTCGAATTTCTCTCCCAGAAAACCAATCTGTGTAGACATCAGTTCTGATTTCTTGAGATTGATTATCCAAACCCGCTTGGTGAGAATACTTACCATTGAAAGTATTGTGTGGCAAGCCCTCTGAGTAGCCAGTCATCTAGATACAGTGACAACACTGTGCCCGGGCAAACTGCGTTGTAATCACATGAGTTTGGTGAACACGCTTGGTGATGCCAAAGGGCAGCACACAAACATGTTCACACTTCCCGTCGAAGGTGAGGTGAGCTGAAATTGGGTTTACCGTCGTGCTTGAGAATATTTCGCTCATATGATGACGTGCATGCGTGTGTATGTGTATGTGTATGTGTGTGAAGCTGGTTGTATAGTGCTAGCCCACTGAGATACCATGCCGCAGTGAAGCATGAATACCCCACTCAGACACATTATACTGACTCCGAGCCGACCAGTCCTTGTTGTACCCATTAATGCCGAGCGCCAGGCAGGGACCAACAAGTACCATATTTTAACGTCTTTTGGTATGACGTGGTCGGGGATCGAACCCGCGACCTTCCGCTCTCTGGGCGGACGCTCTAACCACTACACCGCGGAGGTGGTTTCCCGTCAAAGAGAAAAAACCTGACGTATTTCCTGACCTCGGAGTGTCTGTTTCGTAACCAGCAAAGACTGAGCATAAGGCAGTCGGAGTCAGACCTGATAGCATTATGAGCCAGATACGAGTGGACATCCGTCAGTTGCCACACAGGTCGGGCGTATGACGTGTCATCTGGTGGGCAGTGACATGAGTGCCTGTTGCGTAACCAGCGAAAACTGAGCAACAGGCATGCAGCGAGAGTCGGCGCTCATCCTTGCCTAGCTGAAACTAAAGTACTGTCGGAAATGCTAGAAAAATGCTTTTTAGCCTTAATACTTTGATAAAGGTGATAAATGTACTATGTTGTCAATATATCAACTCGCCTATAGTGTACCTAATTTTTATTTCAATCGATTTAACATTCCCATGCATTTAAAGGGCAGTTTACAGGAGAGAATGTGGTACCAAAACAACAACTTAAGATTTTTTCAGAGTTCAACAACAGATATCTGAAATAGTCTTTACATTTATGCTAATAATACAGGCGGTGTAAAAATATGAATTAACATCTTTCTTTAACAAATAAATGTTGAATGTTTGTGTTACTTTACTTAATTATCGTTTCTTTATTGAAGAAATATTAATATAAATGTTAAGTCTTGATAAAAAAGTTTCCCGTCATGCATGCACATCTTTATTACAGCGTCCACTATGGCCAACTATTTGCAGTCAATTGTTGCAAAGGTTTATAAGTTTTTTGTGCTTGAAAAAGACAGAGGTAAACCTTTCATTAGTTTAGAAAGGGTTTATTACAGAACTTGTAGAGCTGTTGGTATGTCTTACCCACAAGTTTACAATAATTATAAACAAACCAGACAAGACAGGGACCGTCTCAAAAGCAAAACCGGAACGTAAAACCATCCTTGACAACTTTGACAAGGGAGTACTTAGACGGGCGGTCTACAAACTTTATGAGAAGAATATATCTATTCTAAAAAAGCTACACCAGTGACTTCGTTAAATCTTTGGCCAATGTTCAAAACTAGAATAAATTGACCGAATTACATCCATATTTTTGCAATGAAATATACTGTTGACATGCAAAACATTTATTAAAACGTTGCACATTTCTACAATCAATCGATTAGATAACACAAGTGATAAGAATCTTTCCAATGTACAGTGATTCGTACGTTTCTTTCAAAACAAACACACATACACAAATGATCCCTTACATAACCAATATGTATACTATACGTACACATATTCAACATTTCGAAGAAAACATCTATTGAGATGACCTCTTCCCCGAGCGTGTGCTCAGGTGTCAATTTCACCTGTCGATACCGTGCATGCTGATGACGTAACGCAGACAGTTAATGTTTGTATCAAATAAGGTCCCACTACCCGTCATTTTTCTAAGTTTTTGGTATTTTCATCAGTAAAAACACATTTTAGGGCATGTCTCAAAATGTATTCCCTCGGTCTACATTAGGTAGATGTTTCTTAAAGTGATATTTGTTATTTATGTAACTGTAATACCTCTGAATTTTAAATATTAGTCAAAAAGCATTTTTCTAGCGTTTACGACAGTACTTTAGGAAGAGCCCCGACCATATAGAAGCAGTCAATTACCGGTGTTTGTGTGGTGTGTGTGTGTGTGTGTGTTTCTATTTTTGTGGTTCCGTACAACCCCTCCTCCCCCATCAAGTACCAGCGATTGAGCTCTGGGAGGTCAAATCGTGTCCGAATACTTTAAGACAAGAGGGAAAACCATCTCACCCAAGCGAATGTTAGATGTGGAGCTGGGTGTCAGCCACCTTACTCCGGAGCAAACGCTTCACCATGAAGACGGAACTCCGCGGGGTCGGGGCTGACAGAAGGGACGACCACCTGAGGCAGAACGGTGGCGACCTAATGCGCACGTGCTTCAGGGACGAAACGAGCAGAAACCCAGACAGGGCACCAGGCGAACTTTGGTCAAGACCTGAGGCTCCGGAAACCTGTGCCGGCCTGAAGCAGAGGCCAGGCCGACATGAGGTCCCCCAGTCAATCCATCACCGGAGCCCAAGCTCAGATCAGAGTGCCCAGGGGAAGGAGCGATCCCCGAGCCTTGGCTCGGACCGCATCCAACCCCCACAGATGCGTCCGATCCACCCTTGGTGCTGAGCTCCTGGTGGACCCCAGACATCGCACTGTCTATCAAGGATTTCACAGATGACATCTGTTGCTGCAACAAATTTGACAAAGGATCAAAGGTTAATACAGGTGCATCGACATGATGGAGGTGCAGGGGAGGCTGAGACCGGAGCAGACTCAACCACCTAAGACAACTAACTCCCTGCCTCTTTGGAGGCACAGGTGGAAAAAGAAAAACTCCTCTTACGTTAGGAAGATTTCTTAGACGGGCTTCAACCTACACCTGCAGCAAGTTGGCAAAAAACACCAATATGTATGCCTGTTTATTTGCGCCTTTGGTGTAAAAGCTAGATGGATAGTGCACCCCTGATCAGGATGCGCTTCCTCTGCAAAACAACTCAAACACACCAGCACAGGGGGTATTTGACTGTACATGAAAACCGGATGTTGCACCTTTGCAACAACCCATTTTCCACTGTACAGTTATTACGGGACAACCCAGGCTTCACGTTCACGGTTAGTTTAAGGTATTCCCCACCTTTAACAAATGAAACATTTTAAATGTGAGAATATAACATCTTTCTCCACATACTGGGAATCAGATAATAATGAGAACGTTTCTATTCTTGTCATCAATGTCTATTTCAAGCGGCACCCATACCGAAGCTAACATAGTGATCGCGACAAAAAGCTTGTTTTACTCCTGATATTACCCAAGTGATGACCACAAGGTGCTTGTGTTCACTTTTATAAGAAACTAAGTCTTATTCAAAGTTCTGTGTGAAGTTTTAATGCTTATTTCTTTACATTTAGCAAGAAACATGGCAAAATATGGACTGTACGCTCTGATGGTTGTTGCACCAATACTGTACTAGGAGTTGCAGGAAATAAATGTGACAATATATGGGGAGTTGGTATGATAATGACGCATGTATTTTAACAAATTCCTGTTACAATGGGTTTTCTTGAATTTTCAGGCTAAATGCATACATTTCTCCTATTACTGATGGCGACTTTCCATTGCTATGATTGTACTCCTGTTTCAGACTTTGAGACTATATTATTTGTCATTCCTTTGACACTCATCCAACAAATATGTCAAAGGTCCGACAACGAATTGTGGATTGTAGCACTGGTAAAATCAAACTTCAGTCCAAAAACTTTCAAAACATTGTGCCAGCTGATCTGATGAAAAATAACCAGACATGTATTCTGATCGCGAGTTGCTCTCAGTAAAAAAAAAATCGAGATATTAATCCACCCAGTGGAAGTACCATGTACTTCACACGAAACGTTGTCTGACGAATCTGTCAGTTATTAATCAAACAACGTTTCAGTTATTACTAACACTGATGGTACACATAAGATTGAATATGATGATGACTGATAAAAGAAATCAACAAATTATTACCAAGCATTATTCAAACTATGTGGGAGAATGGACATACTGAATCATGGATCCTGTTTGATAGACTTCTTAGTGAGAAAAACAAATGCCTAAGGATAACATAACTTATCTGTTATTTGAAGATGTTGTTGAATTTTTTTTACCACAGAGATACGCTACAAGGACGAAGTCAAACAAGTCTGGAAGATGGGCCAAAAGTTGTTTCACGGGAAATTTCTTCGTTTCAAGGGTGGACTCAAACTCACTGAATTTAATTGTTATGAGAAACCTTCGAGTGTATTCATGTGAAACTATTCTTCATTGTCTAATATTCAATGTGTGATTGTGACATCAAGAATCATTTCAACGAATATTGTTTTAAAAATTCTAAAATATATGAATGATGAATGGGCGAACAGCGGATAGAACCTGTGAAATTCTCCAAAACATACGCGAATACCTGCGCTCAAAATTTATATTCTGGTTTATCGAAGTATAAACCTGCATGGAGGTCAAATTCGAGAAAATTGCGTCATTTTCAATATTTTGGTATATTGAAACATGATCATAGGTTTTTGTTTAGAAGATAGCCTGTAAAAATATTCTGTCTGTTCACACACTGCCCGAACTTCGGTCAGTTTTCCCTTTGTCATTGGTACGTATATGGGTCATTTTCAAAATTGGTAGGATTTTAAATTCATTATAACAGTAAAATCAAACTCCTGAAAATTGATTTAGTTTTACTTCAAATGAAATCTCAAATACTTAATTATTCAATAACACAAACATGCAGGCTCAAATTTACTAATTGGCCTTTTAATTGATACATAAGTAATTAATAGGGTGAGGGAAAGTCCTGACCTTTACCATTTCTTAATCAGAATAAGGATTTTGAAATATAATTCATAAAAATCTTTTAAAGATGGCATACACAGCTTTTACACCGACTTAATCAAACTTGAAGGTAAAAACTATTATCATAAATCTTGAAAGAGTTATTTTGTATCTTTCATTTATTTACCACAAAATAATTGCATTTTTCTAAAACATTATTATGCATATAGCTTTCAACAGGTAAAACTGTCTAAAATAAACATCAGCTACTAAGCCCAGGACATCTTTTGATGACACCAGCATAAAGAGGAGTGTTTCATGTATTATCATGAATTAATTAGTCAGTGTTGCATCCAGGAATTTGAGATTAAGGGGGACATCCCCCTTAACTGTTACAAAAGAGGGGGACCTCACACCAAACAGGGGGATCACATATTGACTACAGATAGGTATTTACTATAATGCTGATGCTGTCACAACAATGCTTAACTATTCAGAGTTTTCTTACCTAGCATTTTGGCTCAAAACTTGCGAAATATTTGTCGCTCTTTCTTGGCTTTCCATACTGCAATAGCCGCATCAAAGGGGAATTCCTTTGAGCTGGGCCCCTCAATTTGGATTGTCATTAATTGATTCACTTTGTCTGGATCAAGTCTGTTTCTACTGCTAGTGTGAATAATGTTCTGGCAACTAAAGCCCCTCTCACAGTCCGCAGTCTGAAGAGGAATGTGTAAGCCAAGTTTAGCAAGTTTCACAAGATTGGGGAACTGATGTCCATGGTATGACTTAATAAGCTTCCACAATGTATTCAGATGGTCCCTGGGATATATTTGCTCAAGAACAAGAGGTTTCACTAACGACCATTCTGCCCTTGTGTCATCAGTATTAATCAGTGCCTTGCTGACATTACTAGCTCCTGTTTGGTCCTGGCCATAATGTTCAATCAGAACATCCAATTCTTCATTTCCAAATGTCAGTAATTCTCCCTTGATAAGAATGATAATGGTCTCAGACCTAGGGCTTGAAATGAAGTGGCAACCTTGAGTTCCTTCTTAGGAAATCTTCTGTCGAGTTGGTCCTTGGGAGATTTAAGGAAGGAAGTTCTTGTGCTTCCAAACGATTTTTGTGCTTCTCTGATGTTTTCTTCATTTGACACAGTGACTTTTACTCCTTGAACTGTGACCTGTTTCATTTTGACATCCTTCTTCATGTGAGATGTGTGAAGTAACTGCTGATAGTAGCTCTTACTACTCAATGCCTGGTCTACTGCAGAAAAGATACCATCAATAGCTGGCCTAACAGATGATATATCAAGGTCTTGCTTCTGCATTGTCATGCTAAGGGCAGCTAAAGAGGGGATGATGTCCATCATCAGATACATGCAGCATACAAACTTGTAATCTGTTATGTTCTCAAATAAACCTTTTGTTCTGCTGCTGTCTGCCTTGTGTGACTGGAAATACTTGCACAGTGCTTTCCATGATCTGCAAATAGCATTTAGTGAGTTGTAGAAGCTCATCCATCTTATTTCATGTACCTCTCTCATCTTAACCTCAGGTGATTCAAGAATGCGTTGAATTTCTTTCAGTTCTTCTGTTCTGGCTGTAGATTTCGAGAAATAATAGTAAAGGTCTGTCAACACCTTTTGAAAAGTATCTTTAATATATACCACACTATCTGCAGCTTTAGAAGTGGCTTAGTTCAATCTGTGAGCCATGCAGTGTACAGACACACAATGTGGAGCCTCCTTCTTGATCCTTGTAGCAACCCCTTTCTCTTTTCCAGTCATTAAACTTGCTCCATCTGATCCAAATCCAATCACTTTCTTCCACTCTACACCCCGTCCAGTTAGAAATTCACCTAATCTTTTAAACAACACTTCCCCGGTCACACTCACATCAGAAAGTTTCACATTTCCAATAAAGTGTGTACTGCACTGCAAACTGTCAGACACTGTCTTACAATATACCACAAGTTTCTTTTGAACAGAAATGTCTGTGCTCTCATCTATCATAATGGAAATGAACTCACTTTCTGTAATTTCTTCATCAATTCTCTTCTGCACACACTTGAATAAATTCATCAGCTGCTGCATGTGAGGAATATGTAGCATTTTCACCAACTCTCAAGTCACTCAAATCAACACCATTTTCCTCCTGTAATTGCAATAAACCAGGATAGTTCATTATTGCAATGTTTTGTGTAGCAATGTAATAAGCTGTCCTCATTGCGATCACTAATGACTTTTCTTTGGCAATTATTTTTCTGTGGGCGTGTTTTTTCAGCCTGAATAAAATTCTGTCTACACAAACTGTCTTGTACTGCTTCTAAATGTTGCTTAGATTCTGCGTGCCTTGTAAGTGTACTGGTTCTGAAATTTGTACATCCCTCTCTGCTTGTAAATGGATTTTTTTTACCACTGTGCATGCATGACGTACATATCATGCCACCTTTGCTGTCTGTGTCCAACCACGTATACTTATTCTTCCACGAATCTTGAAATGTTGCATCAATTTTGCGTTTCTTCACTGCAGAAATTTCAATTTCTGTGCACTTTTCAAGTTCAGTATCATGCAAAGTTGCCTCTTCTGTAGTAATCGTATCACCAGTGACACGTTCCCCATCGGTTTCATTCCTACTAGGTCCCACAGCATCATCACCGCTAACAGACTTGGCTCTATTTCGTTGAACTTCTGACTGACTGACTGACTGACTGAGTTTGGTTTTACGCCGCTTTTAGCAATATTCCAGCAACATCACGGCGGGGGACACCAGAAATGGGCTTCACACATTGTGCCCATGTGGGGATTCGAACCCGGGTCTTCGGCGTGACGAGCCAACGCTTTAACCATTAGGCTACCCCACCGCCCCCGTTGAACTTCTGAGCCAATATTAACACGTTTCGTTGTTCGTTTTTCTAAGACACTAAAGAAGTCACAAAGTATTTTGGTTTTCCTACCGTCAGTCATGTTTGCGAACTTTTTCAACATAAACACGAGTTGCTTATCATAAATTCCAGACAGTATTCTTGAACATGACAGCTTCGAGTGTCAGCCAATCAAATTGGCCGTATTAGCTTACAGTGATTAACAAGCGATGCCATTGGATGAAACAATACATTTTTTTAACCCGGAAGAAACAGTTTCAGATTGCAAAGCAGATGTAATAGTTGACACGGCACCGGTTTATAAATTACGTTTTAACTCCTGACAGCGAATATCTTTACAGCATAAACGTGAGCCTCGTTGATGCTTACTATCCACAATTACGATAGGTTATTTTAACATCGCGAGGCTGTCAGACTTTCTAGATACCAGTGATTTTCGAGATGAATTCTGATGCAGTGATCGGAAAATTATAGTAGCTGAAACTGTTATTTTATCAAGAGAAATATATTCTAGCATTGTGCATTGCAGCTTTTGCTCTGTCAATGTAAAATATTCATAATCATAACTAAGGTTATATGTGACAGCACTTGGGTGTAATGTTCGCGCTGCTATCCCGTTCTGACGTATACCCTTGGTGTGCCAGGTTATTTTTAGTTTGACACGAGGTCGTGGTATTTTCGACCAATCATCAAGCGAAAGAAATTACGAACGTTGCCGAGCTGCTTAATATGCAGCACCGGATTGGCTGAAGTAAACCTACGGACTATACCGTACATTAATGTATGCAAAACCGAAAATAGATATGGGTCAAGAAACCGCTTTGGGTATTTGACATGAAAAGAGAGAGAATAATGAAACTGGTTTGGTTTAACAAATGGAAGAATTATCAACATGATTCGCGGTCTTGTATATATGTACCAAAGACACTTTTGATTTGCGATGTGTAAATACGTCCTCGAGACCCAGACATGTTACCCAGGTGCTCGAGTTGACAATATGATAGGTACGTGGCCATTTATATTACGCGACAGGTCGCGCATCTGTTTTCATTTTTTGCGGGAGATGTACGTTATTGGGGGGAATCACGCAGTCGCTCGGCCTGGATGCAACACTGTAACAGCAGTCAATTAACACCAGTAACGGTTAGGACAATAGTGGTAACAGTTTGACAGGAATGTTACGGGCTGGACATAAACCTTAAAAATTTAATTCAACATAGAAACAGGTAACATGAAAGGAAAAAATGATATCATTTACTTCAATTGCTAACCCTATTTTGGACTGACTGAGTTTGGTTTTACGCCGCTTTTAGCAATATTCCAGCAACATCACGGCGGGGGACACCAGAAATGGGCTTCACACATTGTGCCCATGTGGGGATTCGAACCCGGGTCTTCGGCGTGACGAGCCAACGCTTTAACCATTAGGCTACCCCACCGCCCCCGTTGAACTTCTGAGCCAATATTAACACGTTTCGTTGTTCGTTTTTCTAAGACACTAAAGAAGTCACAAAGTATTTTGGTTTTCCTACCGTCAGTCATGTTTGCGAACTTTTTTCAACATAAACACGAAGTTGCTTATCATAAATTCCAGACAGTATTCTTGAACATGACAGCTTGGAGTGTGTCAGCCAATCAAATTGGCCGTATTAGCTTACAGTGATTAACAAGCGATGCCATTGGATGAAACAATACATTTTTTAACCCGAAGAAACAGTTTCAGATTGCAAAGCAGATGTAATAGTTGACACGGCACCGGTTTATAAATTACGCTTTAACTCCTGACAGCTTAATATCTTTACAGCATAAACGTGAGCCTCGTTGATGCTTACTATCCACAATTACGATAGGTTATTTTAACATCGCGAGGCTGTCAGACTTTCTAGATACCAGTGATTTTCGAGATGAATTCTGATGCAGTGATCGGAAAATTATAGTAGCTGAAACTGTTATTTTATCAGGAGAAATATATTCTAGCATTGTGCATTGCAGCTTTTGCTCTGTCAATGTAAAATATTCATAATCATAACTAAGGTTATATGTGACAGCACTTGGGTGTAATGTTCGCGCTGCTATCCCGTTCTGACGTATACCCTTGGTGTGCCAGGTTATTTTTAGTTTGACACGAGGTCGTGGTATTTTCGACCAATCATCAAGCGAAAGAAATTACGAACGTTGCCGAGCTGCTTAATATGCAGCACCGGATTGGCTGAAGTAAACCTACGGACTATACCGTACATTAATGTATGCAAAACCGAAAATAGATATGGGTCAAGAAACCGCTTTGGGTATTTGACATGAAAAGAGAGAGAATAATGAAACTGGTTTGGTTTAACAAATGGAAGAATTATCAACATGATTCGCGGTCTTGTATATATGTACCAAAGACACTTTTGATTTGCGATGTGTAAATACGTCCTCGAGACCCAGACATGTTACCCATGTGCGCGAGTTGACAATATGATAGGTACGTGGCCATTTATATTGCGCGACAGGTCGCGCATCTGTTTTCATTTTTTGCGGGAGATGTACGTTATTGGGGGGAATCACGCAGTCGTGCGGCCTGGATGCAACACTGTAACAGCAGTCAATTAACACCAGTAACGGTTAGGACAATAGTGGTAACAGTTTGACAGGAATGGTAACGGGCTGGACATAAACCTTAAAAATTTAATTCAACATAGAAACAGGTAACATGAAAGGAAAAAATGATATCATTTACTTCAATTGCTAACCCTATTTTGGACTGACTGAGTTTGGTTTTACGCCCCTTTTAGCAATATTCCAGCAACATCACGGCGGGGGACACCAGAAATGGGCTTCACACATTGTGCCCATGTGGGGATTCGAACCCGGGTCTTCGGCATGACGAGCCAACGCTTTAACCATTAGGCTACCCCCCCGCCCCCCTATTTTGGAGAGACAGTGAAATGTGTATTAGAAATTGTAACTTGTAACAAATGTGACATGTTTTCTTCCATGCTGTGGTAAAGTTTGGACATTTGTTATATCAATATGAAACTTGTGAATGAATTTAGGCTTTTGAATAAAAACAAATGGTAGCTTCTTAAGAAAAGAAAAACACACCTGTCTAGGTTGAAAATCACTTATAATCTAAAGAAGAGTGCATTTGTGGAACGAAAATTGAATGAATAGTAACGGTTGTGACATTATTGGTAACGGTCAGGACATCAGTGTAACAAACAAATGTTATCCCTCTAAAAAGTTGCAAAAGATTAAATTCTGAAAGATACTGCAACAACTATGATACTGTACACATGGTCATGCTACACAGGCCACTGCATAGATATCATTTTGCTGTTGATATTATGGTGCAATATTAGTCTCCACGAAATATACTTCTTTCATTCACTCGGATACCTTTAGTTTTTGTTAATCGTGAGATGGTAACACATATTTATCAAATACAAAGGTTTGGCCAACATATTAGCACCTAGCAAATATTCAAAGTAAATGGTAGCCTTACATATCTCACAGTTAAAGTTCAAACAGTTTACACCCAAAAAATCTTTAAAGGTTGGAATACTGAAAGTTGTTTACCATTACTACATTTTGTCCAAACTGTTACCATAGATGTCCTAACCGTTACCTTTAATTTATAAAGACTATAGATCTTATAGAAATTAGAAACTTAACATATTAAATTCGTTTTGGTTTTTTATTATTTAAAGCAGATAGATAAGTAAACAGAAAATTATTATCACACCATGGAACATATTCTTTAAAATAGAAATTCATTAAAGATATGTCCAGACCGTTACTATTATTTGTCCAAACCGTTATTAGAGACTGTTTTTTATGCTACTACATCAAAACTCCTTTGAACAGTAAAATTCCATGCTTAAACTTATCTTAACCCTAAAAGTAATTATAAATTTGTTATATTTCAAATATTAATGAACAACTTTTTGAAATACAAATCATTTTGTCCAGACTGTTACAAAGACTGTCCAAACAGTTACTTTGCAGAATGGTAACGGTTTGGATAGTAACGGTCAAGACAATTTGTAAGTAAATCTAAAATAAAAAAAATGAATGATCCCTAAAAGATTTCAAAGGACATGCCTTCCACCTTTTCCATTTCTGGGCAACATATCCATTGAAATTTAAAAAAACAAAGATATATTTGACACAAAATACATTGGTAA